AAAGGGCTTGGTACTTCTGACTCTTTCATATATTATTTCAGCATACATAAAAACTTATATCGAGGTATCTCTTCACAACAAATGAAAATGACATGTTAAAATTGTGCTCTGGGGAGGAAGTGGCTTTGGTTCCCTGACCAATGCAACTTCCCTAGACTATAACCTGGGTATTCTCTCCAACAGCCCCAATTTCAAAAGTCATCAGGAATAGAAAATAGGACCAAACTTGGGCACTATTAATAGTTTCAAACTGATCTCTTCAATTATGGCATTTAGATCTCCTAGGTTTGGCAGCAGGGTTCCCTTTTCAGCATCCAAACAAATTTATCTAGCGGAAATGGAGAGATTACCTTTCTAGACAATACAGAGATGAGTTACTTCAGTATTCATATTCATATGTTATCCTGACCTATTTGGAAAAAAAAATTGTACTGAGCACAGACAAAGATGCAATCATGTATGCCACATTCCTATTCAATAATCTTTTGTACTTGGTCATCCAAAGAGTCCTGAAATGCTTACTTCACTCTTTCCCACCTTCAATGCCGTCTTGTGGTTTAAATCTAGTTCTTGCCAAATTTATTAAACTTCCGTTTGAAACTCTGGGAAAATGTTCACGGTGTAATTTTTTTCTGAAGATTGAATTTCTCACAGCAATAACATTGGCCTAGAAAATCAGTGACTTGCAGCCCATAAGGCCAATATTCCTTACACAATGTTCCACAAGAGCAAGTTAGCTTTACTCCCCCATTCTATTACCAAATTCTAAGTACTGTGATCTCTGAATTCTGTATAATCCCAGTCCATTGGTTTATATGTATGTTACTTTAAGCAAGAGTTGTTGCCTGGGAGCACCAGGTACTTCAAGCAAGATGTTAAAAGAGCTTCGAGTTATTATTTAGGTAAGACTACAACTTCGTTAAATCTGAGATTTGTTGTATATGGAGAAACATGCAAGAGGGAAACTGTAAACTTTGTTTACAAATTTGTCATGACGGCATTGGTTTCTCAGCACTTGAAAATCTTAGGATGTATTGTACTGGGTCCAAAGCTGCTTCAGGATATGTCAGGATCCTATCTGCTGAGATATGCAAGTCTGCTCCCTGGAATTGGGTTCATACATTTCCACAATATTAGTTTCTTGACTTGACTTCTAGATCAAATGCCCAATTCAGGGGAGCAGTCCTACAATCTTTTTGGTTTAGTTGATTCTCCTCACGCTACTGAGAGTTAATCTCCAGGGAGGTTGTATTTGTCCTTACTCAGTGGATATAACACTCCATGAGAAATTTTACAAGATCTTTTACATCCACAAGTGGCCAGGATCTCTGTTATGAATCTTGTGAAAGACAACCACTTCAACAGCCTTTCTTAACTCCTAGGTTCACTATCTGAAGGAAGAGCGCCACCTACTGAATCGCAGTTTATTCATTTGTTTCATTTTTGCCCTTTTTGTCTTCCTTCTGTTCATTCCAATCTCCTTTTACCTTAAAATAGTCATTCCCTTTCATCTATCAGTTAATGAGCTAACATGCCACTCTGAGAACATACCACTCTGGTGGTAGACTAAATGTTGATCACTCTTACCCAATTTTGCACAAAAATTCTCTTGAATTATATGTGCATATATGATATCTTTCAGCATGTTGCTTTATAACTAACGTGTGTGTGTATTGATCATTTGTTCTCACTTACATGGTGACTCTCTTTAATATGCTGCTCTTACATGTGATTTCACATTACTTCAGTTTTCAGAATAAAATGCACAAAATCAATCTGAATTTATTCTTTCGTATAATTTATGGGGAAGAAGGGTGGACTACAATGTAATACATTATATGGGTTCTAAACTGCTGTTAACTGCTCATCCCACTGGCCAGGGTGCAGTCTTGATGGGATCTGGAACTGTGGAGAGGCATTTTCTGGAGTTAGGGGACAGAGAGATCTCCACTGGGAGTAGCTGAAGCAGTATTCTGTATGCCCCCTCTTCTTTCCTCTCTCTCCCTTTCCTTTAGTGTGTGGGGCAGCTGCATCTCTTCTCTCTTCCTCACCCCCTGCCTTCTTCATGTTGCAGGTTGCTGGGGATCAAGCCTGGGCCTCCAGGGCATTTTCTGCTGCCACTGGACAATGGAGGTGGTGCTAGGGCTGGGTGACTGGTTCTCATTTGGTGGAGGACAAGGGAGGGTTGATATAGTTGGCTGCCAAGGAAGGGTAACCATGGTGAGTTCCCTGTTGCAGCCTCACCCTCTTTTAATCTAGGGGCTGAATTCTGGTGGTGCTAAGAGCTCGGTTGATTGCTAGTTTTGGGGCCTGGACAGTATTTTTCCCATACAACAAACTACTGAATGGGTTTTCATTTTCCACTTGGCACCCAGAAGGGGTTTAAATTACAATTTTGCAGATTCCAGTGCAGTTGGTGGGTTAGCAGGGGTCCTGTTGAGGTTCCTGTAATCCAGTGGCCTGCCTGGGCATTAGTCCTGAGCACTGCACTGCATGTTGAGGGGGTTTGCCAGAAACTGGGAATGAGCGAGAGGGAATGGGTCACTTGATGATTTTCTGTTCTGTTCATTCCCTCTGGGGCACCTGGCATTAGCCACTGTCAGAAGACAGGATACTGGGCTATATGGACCTTTGATCTGGCCTAGCATAGCCACTCTTATGTTCTTATGTCTCGTGTAGCCTATGGCTCCCTTCAACTTAGCTTTGCTACCTCTGAAATGGAGTTGGAAAGCAGGTTGGGACTCTGCTCTAAATCAAGGTCCCTCGGCAGGCCCAAAGTTGTAGAGGGAGCATGGCCTTCACGGTTGCCTCAGGTTTATAATATACTGGGGGCATTAGTGACCATTGAGCACCACAGTGGAATAAGCCTGGTGAGTGTTCTGGAATGATTATCCCAGTTAAGTAAAAGTTTTTTAAAAAGTTGTGGCCTTTGCATTTAACTATGCTAAGGTGTCTGTGTCTCATGGTTTTGGGGTCTTTGTTTCATTTCCATCAAAATGTTGCAACGAAACACTTTGACATTTCTGAATTGAAACGTTTGGAATTACTGTGATGTGGAAAACTTTCTGTTCCCAGGGAATGGACATGCTGAATTTCCTCATCTCTAGGAAATATGGTCACCTTTAAAAATTGTATCAAAAATGGCATTACCCTTTGAACAAATGTGTTAAGACAACCACTACATCCAATTCTGTCAATTGCTGAAAATTTGGGAATTCCAATTCACTTGGGTTTGGTAATTAAAAAAAAAAAATTGATATGCAAGAACATAAGTGCTTATATATGAAAAGTGAATATTTTGGTGACTTAATGGAAATAAATAGCATTTGAATAAACCTGCAGCATTTTGGGACCAGTAGAAGAAAGCGGATCTATTATGCAGTCCCTTGTGGGCAATCCTATTAAGAATTTAACACATTATAAAATCAGAAAAATGGGGTAATGTCTATTACTTTTATGACTCATTGCTAGTACTGCATCTGCTGTACACAGCTTAAATAAACACTAGAGGTAGTCACATTTTCACATCCATATAAATAAACGGATACAATTCCAACTTTTTTTTTTTTCAGGAATGGCAAATCTTGTATCTTGTAAGAATGAACAGCTTTCTTTAAGGAAGAACCTGTTTTACTGGTTAATAGTTCTGCTATTTTGATGTGCAGTGCATCACTGATATGCTAAGATTTCAGAATAATGTGCACATCTTAGTCACAGAATTTTTTTTTCTGTTTCAGAATGTATGGGAATTTGTGAGCAAATATACAGAGAATGTCATTACATCTTCCCTACGCAACAGCTAGGTGCAAGAGAATCGTGTTTGTTTTTCAGCCAGACCTTAGAAGCCAATGCTTTAATACCTGACTCTTTCTCCAGTGTTCTGTTCGTGGCTCTCTAATTTAGAGACATAAGTTCATGACACAACTTGTAGGGAAAATTCATAATTTTATTAAATGATACCTTCACTTAAAGCCAAAAATCTTTTGTTTTCCTCAAAAAAAATATTTGTAATAGAGAGAATCTTTTTCCATATGAAAATTGCTTTTTTTCATTACCGTTTATTAGTAATAGTAGAGTATCACCGTGAAGAGCTATCAGTCTGAAGCCCCAATCCTACAGACACATATGTTATCTTTATGCATGTGAGTAGTCCCGTTGGCTTCAGTGGGCTTATTAGCATGAGTAAAGCTAAGCATATGCTTAACTTCAGCCCCACTCCTGCAAACCTTTAAGACAGGATGCAAGAAGTTCATGCAACACGCATGAGAAGAGAGTGCCTCAGTATTGCCTACAGTTTTATGCATGGAAGTAACTTGTTCAGTAACCAGACGTATGTCTTTCTGTGTTTCTTTTAGAATGTAGTGTGTTGCGGATTTAGGATTTCCCACACAGGCCTACTTGCTCGCCACCTAGGGTCTGCACAGGCTGTAAAGGGCTAATTCTATATCAAGACACACTATTAAATCCTGTAAAAAATCCATGACTTTCACCTTTTGTTCCTTCCTCCAGATCTGCTTCCTGAGCATTCTTAAAACCTACCATGTTGTTTGGAGGGATGGTGGGAATTTAATCAATCCTGGTGGCAGATTTCTAGTCCCAATGATCCCTCTGCTTTCTTGGATCATATAACCTCTCATATATGTCTTTGCTATAGCAGAACTCAAATAGATAACTGGAATTTTTAAAATCAATTTTGGGTTGAGCCTGCAAACATGTATGATTTCAACCAATGTGTTTTTGGGTTTGTTTTTTTTTTCAGACAAGTCTATGTAATTCTCTGTGTAACTGCCATTATTTTCTTTTTAATTAGTTTCCTCAGAACAAATTATTCCACAACTATAATTAGCTTGTATATCATTGTATCTTTAAGAGAAGACTGTCTATTTTGAGTGAAGTAGTAGATTTTTGCAATATTTTTAATAATCAGTTTACTGTTAGTAAAATCTTCTATAATTACAGCTATACCATGAAATACACACATTTTGTCTGCTTTATTTTAGATCAGTGCACTGTTACTCGGACATACCTTTTCCTTCATAAGTTTTGGTTCTTCAGTGCTGCCTATTACTTTGGGAACTGGGCATTCATTGCAGTAAGTAATCTGATTTAGAGATCATAACAAATCAAGCTGAATGCTTTAACATAAATTGTAACTCAGATATTTGCATCACGACTGTGACATTTAACTTTAAAAGCATCGTTTTCATATTCTTAAGTGAGATACAGTAATACATATTACACTGATTTAAATTCACAGGTCTTTTTAATTGGATTAATTGTGTCATGTTGCAAAGGGAAGAAATCAGTCATTGAAGGAGAAGTGGATGAAGATGATTCAGACATAAGTGATGATGAACCATGTGTCTATTATGGTTGACAGCCTTTTGTCCTGAAGGTTTAAAAAAAATGTAATCTCAAATTGTTTGAAAGTCGTGTTTATGTGGAATTTTAATCCAAATGTTAAGCAAATTTTCTCACTTGCAGTAAAAATAAATTGAGAGAGAAAGTGGGAATATTAATTTAAAAGGGGTGGAAAACTGAATTTTTTTGTTTCCTGAAGAATACATCACTGTATTGTAGCAGAGCTATTATTGAAATTGGGTTGGAATAATATATATAAAATGTACTGTTTTTATGATGGAATGCTTATGTGCAATGTTTTCTAATGTATAATTTGATATTGTGATTGCAGTTGATAATATTTCAGAGTTAATGTTGCTTTTCTGCTACTAGTTTTTGGTTTCTTAAATTTCTTTCATGTCTGACTTGTATGACTTTTTTTATAGCAAGATTAAATTTATAGGGAATTGTATTTAAAAATCATACTGAAACAGCTGGTAAACAAACATTGCTTGAAAGACTCAGCCAAAGTTCCTTCACTTTCCAGAAGTGTGGCAATTTATGAAAATTAATTTTTGCAATAATTTCACTGTCATTACTATGATATGCACATAAAGTTATAGTCCATGAGACAGCGTTTAGATTTACAAGAATATCTTTAAATGTACTGAAAATACATACAGTGAGCTCCAGAGTTCATTCTCAATATGCTAGGAATAAACAAGTTGTGTAAACTTCCACTGTTTCTGAAGTTTAGCCATGACCATATTTCCGTTTACTAGATCACTGAATTTTGTGGCAACCAGTATATAGCCTTTGCTCTGTTATTCTTTACTCTGATATGTGAGAAGTTAAAAATATTACTCCATATTAACTATACTATACAACATCTTGGCAGTGTTTCTTCAAAATTTTATAAGATCTAAAACTATGTGATTCAACTCTTTACTGAGTGGTATTAACTACCTGGGTTAATTAAAACATGAGGTTAATTATGGTATTTTTATTTTCTCCAAATATATTAATACAAATTCTCTGGAATAAGGCTATTTTTCCTATTTGAAATATAGTCAGTATAATCACTGTCATTTTAAACAAGTCATTAAAAATGAAATACAAACATCATTGTAACAGTGTAAACATTAAAAAGTGTAATTCTACAAAATTAGATGTTTTCTTTATATACTTTTTTGTAAAATAAACTTACAATATCTTAACTATACCTTCTTGTTGAGTTCTTCTTTGTAAACCAAAATGCATTTGTGCTATCAAGTATCCTTTAAATATTGACTTTCCATGGGTTATTACCATTATTTCTTTAAAAGTGCAGATTTGCTAATTCCTAAAAATATTGCAAGAGAGAAACTGCATGAACTATAACAATACAGTAAAAGCTGTGTTATCCAGCACTTTACCAATTGGAAAGCTCTATAAACCAGCATTTCCGATCTTCATAGAAAGTCAGTTTTATAGTCCGGTTGGTGCGGGCCCGGTAGGCTCCCTCCCTGATGCTGCGTGGCTCCCTGGAAGCGGCGACATGTCTCTGCTGCTCCTAGGTGGAGGAACAGCCCATGAGGGGTTCAGAGTGCAGGAGGGCGTGCAGGGCACAGGCTCTGGAAGGGAGTTTGGGTGTGGGAGGGGCTCAGGGTAGGTGGTTGGGGCTTGGGAGGGGGCGTGGGATAGCGGATCTGGGCGGCTCCCTGCAAGTGGCGACATGCCCCTGCTGCTCCTAGGCAGAGGCATGGCTAGGCGGTTCTGCGTGGTGCCCCCGCCCCGAGCACTGGCTCTGCAGCTCCCATTGGCTGCGGTTCCCAAGCCCCCTCCCAAACCCAAACTCCTTCCCAGAGCCCATACCCCCTCCCGGGGCCCAACCCCCAGCACTGATCCCCCTCCCACACCCAAACTCCCTCCTCATAGTTAACCAGAATTTTTTACTTACCGGTACTCCTCAGTCCCCCAAAATGCCAGATAACAAACAGTGCCTATAAATATAGTTCAGGTAATCTTTGTAAGATTAGTAATTGTTACCTAATTACCTTGAAATTTACAAAAGTAATTTATTAACTTGCCCTCTCTAGAAGTTCTCACAGTATATTAGAAGCAGACAGTTTCCTCTATTATTACCCCAGAAATAGGCTGCATATTTGTTACTGCAGTACTTCATCATACCAGGCCTTTATAAGAACTTTTGAATTTTAGTCTGTCAGCTGTGCCATTTCCAAACAAAAATTTTAGCTGAGGGACTGTTTAGATGGAGACTTTTTAAAAAGAAACCAAGAAATAAAATACCATAAATACTGGGACATTTTAATTGAAGTTCAAGCACCAATCCACTCTAACCCTATATCCGCATCTATGCTCCACCCACTCTGCTGAAGATGTACTGGGGCAGTGTTAGGGCACATTTTGGTCAGACCCTTAGGATCAAGCCCAGTACTTGAACAGATTTCCAGATCTGTTGGCAAACCTGCTCATCTCATTGTTGAGATGATGGGAAACTTGCCTGCTGTCAGTGAAACATTGAGAGAAGCAAAATTAAAGAACCTGTTTGGATGTACTGTTTTCCAGCGGGGTCTGTGGGTTAAGTTGCTTTAGATAATAGGTTATTTAACCTTACATTGGAAGCATTAACAAAATGGGTTAGCACTGTCCATATCTACCTGTGAGAAAATCTGCAAACAGTAGGAGAAATGTGGAGTGGAACTTCTCCATTCCAATTCTGACCCTCCCTCCCCACAATAACCATAAAGCACAATCTCTACAGGTCCTCCCTAACAGGAGGAATAGGACATAGGATATAATGTTTAAAATAAAAGTTAACTGTGGCAGTGAATTAGGGTTCTCAAAATTGCAAACTCTAATTATGAATAAGGCTACGATTTAATCATGGGTATTTTTCATAAAAGTCATGGACAAGTCACAGGCAGTAAACAAAAAGTCATAGCCCTGACCTGTCCATAACTTGTTCTATATAAATACTCATGACTAAAATTTAGGCGCTCCGGTGGGCTCCCGTGGCTGCTGCTCCATGGTGCGGGGCAACTCGGGGGCAATGAGAAAGCTGGGAGATTGTACAGAGCACTGTCAGCGTAAAGGAAATGCAGGGCTGCATGTTGCGTTATGTCACTCTTTTCTATTTTTATCATAGTCCTGCATGAAATCAACTAATCTAGCAACGCCAGTGCAAGTGATCATTATCATATTTCTTCATATGGAACATCCTTAGTCCAGGCAGTGATCTCGAAAAATATTGGCCTGTCAGTATTTGCACTGGTAAGTTACAAAACATGTTTCCTAATATTTTATGTATAGCTTATCAGAGATAAAAATATATTCTTATTTAACATCTTTATTCTGAATATTTACTAAAGAACCAGGAGTACAGTTAAAGATGCCAAGGACTGCTGCTTATAATAACTCTTGTTTTTCGTTCATTGAAGTTATTCAAAAAAGTAAAGCAATTTAGGGCAATTTTTGCCTTCCATTTGCTCAAATGTTCTTTCCTGTTCTTACAGCTGTTCCTGTCTGTCATGTATGTTGTACTACTTTGTTCAATAACTACAGATAAATAAAAGTGATGTGATAGGATAAGTGTCCAACAAGATTCTAATTTTTTAAAGGAGCTTTGTTGATGCCTCAAATCTTGATATACTTTTAAAGTCACAAATGGGAAATATTTTTACCAGATGCTAAATGGGATTTTTTTAAAATCTACTATTCTGTTTCTAAGAGACTAAGAAAAGATATCGCTGCTATTTTTGTTAATGAATGTGACTGTTTTTAAATGTTGGTTTACAAATATGGTTTGCATTGCTAAAGTGTTCTGCTTGAGCTGGGGATAGGTCTGTTTTAAAATGGGACGATTCTACAGCCTCCTTCTACACGCATGATTTCTGACATGGTGTTCACATACATGTTTGTCGTGGTTTTGTAATATAGTACGGTTCTCATCCAAAGCCATTGTTAATCACTATCATCCATGTCTCAGGGACTTCCCCAAGCTATTATGTGTAGTATCTCCATATATGTTAACATGTTAGCAATTGAACCCCTGCATGTAAATCATATTTGATTATAACATCATTGTTTTGTTCAGCATCTTCATTAATAATCTGGACGGTGGGATGGATTGCACCCTCAGCAAGTTCTCGGGTGACACTAAGGTGAGAGGAAAGATAGATACCTAGGGTCCAGAGTGACCTAGACAAATTGGAGGATTGGGCCAAAAGAAATCTGATGAGGTTCAACAAGGACAAGTGCAGAGTCCTGCACTTAAGATGGAAGAATCCCATGCACTGCTACAGGATGGGGACTGACTGGCTAAGCAGCAGTTCTGCAGAAAAGGACCTGGGGGTTATAATTGGCAAGAAGCTGAATGAGAGTCAACAGTGTGCCCTTGTTGCCAAGAAGGCTAACAGCACATTGGGCTGCATTAGTAGGAGCATTGCCAGCAGATCGAGAAATGTGATTATTTTCCTCTATTCGACACTGGTGAGGCCACATCTGGAGTGTTGCATCCAGTTTTGGTCCCGTTCTCCCCCCCCCCGCCCCCCACTACAGAAGAGATATGAACAAATTGGAGAGACTCCAGCAGAGGGCAACGAAAATGATTCGGCACGTGGGGCACATGACTTACGAGGAGAGGCTGAGGGAACTGGGGTTATTTAGTCTGCAGAAGAGATGAGTGAGGGGGGATTTGATAGAAGCCTTCAACTACCTGAAGGGAGGGTCCAAAGAGGATGGAGATAGGCTGTTTTCAGTGGTGGCAGATGACAGAACAAGGGGCAATGGTCTCAAGTTGCAGTGAGGGAGGTCTAGGTTGGATATTAGGAAAAACTATTTCACTAGGAGGGTGGTGAAGCACTGGAATGGGTTAGCTTGGGAAGTGGTGGAATATCCATCCCTAGAGGTTTTTAAGATCTAGCTTGACAAAGCCTTTTCTGGGATGATTTAGTTGGGATTTGTCCTCCTTTGAGCAGGGGTTTGGCCTAGATGATCTCCTGAGGTCTCTTCTAACTCTAATCTTCTATAGTTCTATGATATCACTGGGTTATGAATGTACTTAATCTGGGCCTGCTTCAGCTTTTCCTACCACCTATGCTGTGTCAAACAGTGGAAAAGTCAGTCAGTCCCTGTAGAGACCAAACAGAAGCTTTACAAAGAATTGTTTAGCCTACCTCAACCAAGTCCAAAAGATAACTCCTTCCAGAGCTACTTGCTCATTCCCATCAGTTCACAGAAATGTGTGACTCACCTCAGCCAGTTCCAAAAGACAAATATATGACATTTTAGTTCTCCTGGATCATCTTATGAGTTCAGACTTGCAGGATTCTCCAGGAACCTAGGATTTCCCAGTATCTAGTCACGTCCTTCTTCCCTCCCACCTTAGCTAGCATACAGGGAGGACTGCCTTCCCTTCTGGACAGCTGTTTCTGCTTTCCTCAGTAGCCGAAGAATGAACTCTGGGCCTTCCAAGGGAAGAGTTAAGTTGTCATATCAGTCAGTGGATGGGACATGCACTTTCACACACCTGCTACCTGATTGTACAGCACCACACATGACTGGGGCCTCTGAACACTTCTGTAATACAAATAATAATACTGTAACCCGAGTTAGGCATGGTTATTCTTGTTAGTTAGGGGCCTGACCCATCTCCCACTGAAGGGAATAGAAATCTTTCTATTGGCTTCAATGGAAGTTAGGGCAGGCACTAGTTGCACTAATGCCGCACTTGCAAACCTTTAAAGCAGGTGTGACACTGCTACAGTCTAATAAGTGAACACAAGAATGGCCATACTGCATCAGACCAAAGGTCCATCCAGCCCAGTGGCCAATGCCCAGTGCCCCAAGTGGTTAGATAGGAAGGATGTTTCTGTGGACTGGAGTGTGACCCAGTAAAACTGTGGTCAGTTCTCACCTCTGCCCCAGACTTCCTCTGTGATCTTGGGCAAATCATGTGTTGTCTGTAATAGCCACTGGCTTGTGATAAATGCCTGTGGCTTCAGACACTCAAGCAGATAGAACCTTTCATCCCTAGCAAGTGGATTGAGCACTACGCTGGGGCTCAGGAGACGTGGTGTTACTTACAAATCTTAGGGAACAGTAGTATTGGCCTTGGCCTTGGCCTAGGCCTTAATGGTCAAAGTAATACTACCATCACTAGGGAATAATTCACCTGAATTGGAAATCTGTGTTAAAGACAGGCTCAGGGATAAGATTGTG